TAAAAAAATATATATGTACCCAACTTCCGGGTCTCTCTTTGTAAGTCATGAGACTAAGGAGACAGGGTAGGGCATAGAATTCGCCCAGGGCTTATGATCTGTTCGTTCACTAAATAGGTCTGCCCGTTTTTTCGTATGAGGGTGAAGTACGTGCATTTATTTTAGATGTGACCGTCTGTGGGGTGTTATTAAACTCCCCTTATCTCCCGAACTGGCGCATACGACTGATCCTTTTTAGACGCCATTTTAAAGTATCTCTAAATGCAGTCAAGTCCGTACATAACAATTGGACAGGCCCAGAGGATTTATAGACATAGCTACACATTAGCTACATGTTACGGTTCATTCTCTTAGATATCATATACTTTCACAAAATGTACAAAAGCTTCGGGATGTGTAAATGAACACTATCGCACGTGAAAATTAAGTTACCGTATTCACAGAAACATGATCGAAATCTGAGATAAATTCGTCGGAAATATTCTGTACTGAATATCAAGTATGCGGATGTGATAGGTTTGGTAGAATTGGTGGTAGGGCCTGGGTTGTAGTATGTGACACAATGCCGGCAACGTTTCTGCCTCTTTTTATTCAAAATAATGCGGAATTCATTTGTATCCCCTTAAAATCATGTAAAAGTGACTTTTTATGTTCTTGTACTTCGCCTACGCCTGATTGTTCTGTCTGCTCACAGCATATCACCATTATTCAAGAAGTGTCCAACCTTATGTTACCCAATGATGTTTATATCATTCTGAGGGATTTTAATATGCCAAATATTGTATGGGATCTTCACCAGAACGTGGGATTTTATGTTCCGGGTTAAATTTCAGTTCGGTATGATTCGTTCTTAGAGGATGTAAGTAACTTGAGATTCATGTAAATGAATAGGGTGTACAATACAAGCGATAAATTACTGGATTTAATTTTTTCGAATACAATATCTATATTGATAACTCAGTCAGTCCCTTTGTCCAGCCGGACGATGTTTTGCATCCAACGATTTGTATTTCTTTGGATATTAAGTTATACACCCAGAATAAGCCTTATTATGGGAGGCAAGAATACGATTTTTTTAAAACCAAAACAAATTATTATGTGCTCAGTTAAGCGGGCACTTGTGCTACCGATCCTAATAGCCTTTCGACTTTCTTTCTTGAATCAAATATTGCAAGGAAAGATATTTTTCCCTTGTCTATTTAGGTATAATAATTAAGTAGCCTAAGCAGCTATTCTAGATGTCTTTACCTTAATAAGGAGAAATTCCAATACTTATTCACATGTTAATGCAACTCCTTTATTAACACACAATCAAACTACTTATATAATCTTAAACTTCAAATGCCTATTTTATCCTAACGTCACTTGTCCACGGACGGCATGGACAATTCTCTATCCCTACTAAATCCTATTTGGCACCTACATCAGTATGCTTCTTCCATGTTAATCAATCAATCAATATATAAGGTAAGTTATGTTCAATTGAACAACATTAAAACAAAATTCGGAAACTTTTCTTCAATCCCATCAGATAATGGAGCAGGTATACACAGCTAACTAACTGACTATACGTCATGATGCCAAAAATTTCAACCATTTACAGGCAAGAGTATCTTCAGTTTATTATTGCCTTGAGCTTCAGTTGAAAAGTCAAATCGTATGAATTGTACTTCTGTAGGCAACATACAAGTTTTTACTCTCTTAATCAGTATTTGTAAAGTTGTTGCATGTTGCAGCCAACAGAAAGTAGATTTGTTTGTTGATCTATTTTTTAAGTTTTTTTGTTAACGTTATCCAAAGCGGGATGGTATGCTAAGTTTATTAAATGTTTATATAAACTGCATTTCGCTCGAAGTTCTCTCCAACTATAAATGGCCCAAAAAGCGGACTTATATCCTCGTATACAGTGAAGACTGGCTGGTTCTGAATTCGTCCTAAAGTTGTATTTTTTCACTAGTTTTTTTATTTACTGATATAGGCTCAATTTTTCCGCCTTTCAACCACAAATTCAATTTTATAAGTTTTTTTTTTTTTTTTTTTTTGTGAGGTGGGAGACCATCAAAAGGCGCCCTTTAGGGCAGTGCGAGACTTTCATCCGCTAAAAACCACCTCTCCTATTCCCTACCCTGTGGCACGACCGTTTAGGTATACCTTCACAGGGAGGGTAGCCGTTTAGGAACTACTTAAAAGCCTACGATGACGGTCTTCGTGTCTTTGTTTACGCATAATGTTTGCGGCGAACATTTCTACCGCCTTCCCTATTTTGAGGTCATGCAACATATTTGTCACACGATTGTCGGGGAGAAGTAACACCCCAATTTCCGTCTGTAGTCTCTGTCGTTCGTTATAGTATTTGGGACAGACAAAGAAAACATGTTCAGCGTCTTCTATGCACTTACAAAAACTACATAATGGGTCCTGCTCTATTTTAAATCTATTCAGATAGGACCGAAAACAACCATGGTCGCTAAATACCTGGGTCAAATAAAAGTCGACCTCACCATGTTGCCTATTCACCCAGGGCCGTAAGTCTGGTATGAGTCGATGCGTCCACCTACCCTTACCCGCTCTGCTCCAGCGCTCCTGCCACTCTTTCAACAGACGCTGTTTTACTAGCTGCTTAGCCGCTTCAGCTGGCTGTCTGCGAAATTCGGCTCTATACAGACCTTCTTTACCACGCAGATCGATTGGCATCATACCAGCGATAACCAGGGCCGCGTCTTCCGACACCGTCCGATATCCGGCGCACACTCTTAGAGCGCATAGCCTGTATGCTGCTTGTACGTCTCTCGTGTATGACGGGATAGCGAAAGCCTTGTTCCACACAGAAGAGCCGTACATTATTGTCGCCGTTACCACATCTGCGATCAGCTTCCTACGGTCTTGCCTAGGGCCACGCAAGTTTGGCAGTAAGCGCGTCAACGACTTTGCAACCTTCGCTGCCTTTTTGCCCGTGTATTGCTGATGGCGTTTAAACGAGAGTCTGCAATCTATCATCACTCCTAGGTATATTATTGCTTCTTGAGACTGTATTCTCGTGTCTCCGACATGGATAGTCACTTTCTCAATTTTCTTCCTAGAAGAGATTAACACTGCTTCCGCCAGATCTAAATCCACTGACCGCAGCCACCTCTTGATCATGTCGGTGGTTTTATTCCCAGTAGTGGTAATTCCCTCTAGAGTTTTCGCCACGATAGTTATCGCTATGTCGTCTGCAAAACCCACGATGGATGCTCTTTCTGGAAGAGGTAATCTCAGGATATCGTCGTACATTACGTTCCACAGCCTAGGGCCTAGGACTGATCCCTGAGGTACCCCTCCAGTGATCAGCCTCTCCCTGCACCCGTTATCCGTAACATATCTCAGTTTCCTGCCGGTAAAATAGCTAGCCACTATATTAATCAAATAATGTGGAATTCTTCTTTCCTGTAGGGCAGCTATGACGTAATACCAGTTTGCTGAGTTGAATGCATTTTTTATATCTAAAGCTATTACTAGGCAATAATTTTTGTTGCCTTCCATCCAACGTTTACCTTTGATCGCTTCTGCTGCGGTATTTGTGACCATTTTTATTGCATCCATTGGGCTGTTTTTTTTCCTGAAGCCGAATTGCGACGGCTTGTTTGGCTTTGGCAGCAACACCAACGTCTGTTGTTTCCACTTATCTGGGAAAATTTGTTCTTTCAAACAAGCATTGAAAGTGCTCGCAAACATAGCAGGCCTTGCCAACATGGCTTGCTTAATACCGCAATTTGGGATACCATCAGGGCCAGGCGCTTTCCTAGCTTTTATTTCTTTTGCGATGGCCGCAATCTCCTCGGGCCCGGTGAGATTTATATTGTCCCTCTCCTCCCTCAGTGGCACATACAAGAACCTGGCTTTCTGTGGGAACAGTGTACCAATTACCTCTTCCACACATTCAGCACAGCTTGCTTGTTCAGAATACTACAATTTCTTCATTACCAGTTTATACGCCATCCCCCATGGGTCCTCATTAATCTCACTTACCAGTTTTTGAAAACAGTTTTTTTTGCTGACTATTATCGCTTTTTTTAAGAGCCTTCTTCTGAGTTTGAACTTTTCTTGGTGGTTGTGGTAAGCACTAGTCCCTCTCGACCTTTGGTAGACACGCCTCGCTCTGTTACATTGAGCCCTTAGTTCGACTATCTCGGCTTTCCACCATTGTACTGGCTCCTTGGACTTACAGAAGCGAAGTCTTATCATTGAACCGTCACAGGCTTTTATAATCCGTGCTAAAACCTCCGCGACGGCAGCGCGAGCTGAGTTTCTGGGTTCAGCTTCTTCTAAAGTAAGCTCGAAGAGTTCTTTATCTAGCGATTCTGGTTTCCACTTGGGTCCTCTTAAACGGTGTTTTACCCTGTTCGCCCGCATGCTCTGCTGTATTTCCCAGATTATTGCTGCGTGGTCACTGCGTGTATATATGTTGCAAACACCCCATCGTATACGCAAGGCCAATGCACTACTGGCCATGGTAATATCGATCGCGGAGACACGACCATCTCTGTTAAAAGTGTTTTCATTACCTACGTTTAGGATTGTCAAATCCAATGAGGCTAGGGATTCAAACACTATTCTGCCTTTAGCATTCGTCCACTTGCTACCCCAATCAGTTGCCTAGGCATTAAAATCACCGGCGAAAATTACCGGTGTTTTTCCCCTTGCGTCGGTGCATAGCTCATCTATACGTTTTTCGAATTCCGCGTGGTTTATACTTTGCGGGAAGTAACAGCTGTAAAGATAAACCTCTCTACATTTGACACAGACGAAGCCCTCTCCTGCTGAGATGAATCTCATGGTTGACAGGTGCAAGCTGCATTGCCAAAAGGCTGCAGTTTCAGTCTAGTCCTTTGCCGAACTGTTTCCGGAGCCTACCTTGTATGGCTCACTTACGGCTACTATGTCAATCGAAGCTTCTCTGAAATTCTGTTTTAGCAGCTCTTGTGCAGTACGACAGTGATTTCCGTTTATTTGCATACATTTCATGGCTGTCCATTGTTGTTAGCGCCGCGTGAATTTACCGGGCAATTTCTGCCGGCCATTGGGTGGTCATGAGGCTTGCCTTGTTCCTTGCAAATCCCAGAGCACGGGCTCTTATTGCAGTCTCTTGCGCGGTGCCCTTCTTCGTTGCATTTTAGACAGCACTTGCTTCTATCTGTCTTTCCTTTGCAATTTCTAACAATGTGGCCTGCCTCGAAGCATCTAAAGCATTTAAGATCTGTGGATTTTTCTCTAATCGTGCTCACTACCCAGCCAACTTTGATTTTCCCGGCTTGAAGTAACTCTTTAGCAGTTTTTGTTGGAACCGATAGAGTTGCAGTTTGTGTGCCGGCATACGCCTTCCTGATTGAGGTGACTGCTTGCTTCTTGATATTTAGACTACTGAAGCTCGTATTTATGGCAACTATTAAGTCATCCGCTGAGGTAACTTCATCCAGGTCCTTAAATTCGATCTTTGTCTGCGTGGTCATTAGTTTAACAATAGCCTCCTCGCCTAGCGCTTTTTCCACCAATTTCTGGTAAGCAGAGTTTTCTTCCTTCGGACTTTGCTTAAACTCCAGCAGCATTTCTCCTTTCACTGTCTTCCGTATTCTCGTCACATTTTCGCCGACTTTTTGCAGCTCACCATCATTTTTAACTTTTTTCAGCATATCGCTGTATGATATAGTGCCCGTTTGCTTGATTACAATTGCATCCGGCCTATTCACCAATTTGATTGACCTTTCTATTTGTTGTTTGGACCACGGTCCACTCTTCATTTCCGCATTTTGATTGCTTTGGCTCCTCCTTTTTGGTATTTATCCCATCACCGGCCCGCTTACTTTTCTTCGCAGGAGTAGTATCCGTGGATCCGTCCTCTCTGAGCCTTTTCGTGGCGTTTACTCTGCCTCCTTTTTCGGTTTGGGTTGTGCCATCTCTGACCGCTTTTTTTGGCATTTTATTTCCTAGCTCTTTTGCGGCTTTTTAATGGACCACAGCTAGCATGTCCACCTCTCTCATCGGCTGATGAATGGTACGCCTAGCCGGAGCAGAAGGAGTTGGGGCCATCATTTCGATGAGTTCTCCAATTTTCTTTCCTAGCTCGACAAAAGAGTTTTCACCTTCTCTTACCATCAAAGATTCCTCCTGAAGGATCGGTGGAGAGGACTGACTTCTCATTTGCGTATGTTGCCCGGCGATTTGCTCAGGTGAGCGTTGGATTCGAATACTCCTTTTGAACGGATCGGGTAATACTTCCGGACTACCCCCGTGGCGCCTTGTGCGCCTTGAGGTGTCCCTTTATTTCCGGTTTTGGCCGGCATAATTTTCGTATTAGTGTTATATATGTTAGTGTACTTGTATATGTAGTTATGAATGTATGTATATGAGAATTCCTCTTACGTTTGTTTGTGTGGATGTATATATCTATGTATAAGTTCGAGTGCGTCTGTTCGTGTGTGTTGATTTTAATGTATTTATGTATATCTACTTGTATATGTGTATGTTTGTGACGTCCTTTTACAGAAGTCTGTTTCTTGTGTGTGCAGAGTATGTTTCTGTATGTATGTTTTTGTCGTTGGCGGTATTTTCTACATATTTTGTACTTACTTTATTGTTAGTCTTTTCCCCTCTGAGGCCCTGAGTCGGTGTAGGATTGACCAATACTGCTTGTTAAATTAATGTCGCCCTCAGCAATGCTAACTAAGCTGTTCCTTGAAAAACAAGGAGTTAGTCTGTGCTATTGCGTAATGTTTTAAAACTTTTCGCAGATGCACAGGGTTGCTTTATAGCAGTAATAGATAGCAATGTCCTCCCGTGATTTGCTCACCTTCTTTATTTACCTGGGTGGCACTGAACGACCCCCAAATAAGCACGAAAGCGGGCAAACCCACAGAGAAGAAAAAGGGAGAAAAAGAATAAAGAAAACGAAACCTGACCTTTCACTTTCTATTTTAAATGCCTTGATAACTAAATAAGACGCTCAAAAGCACTATCACTCTTTTAATTATCGTTTACTTATCTTTCCGATACAAGAATTCCACTCTAGGATAATTTTCTCATAACAATCGCCTATGATATAAACGGAGCACTTTCGAACACGTCCGCGCGCTACGAAATCACCATGTTATATGTAATTGTGTGTGTGTGTGTGTAAATGTGATTGTTGAGTTCTTGAAAGTCAAACAGTGTTGCGAACTTTGGCTGAAAACGAAAAAGAATGTTATGGTAATAGAAAATGACTGAACGCAAAAAAAAAAAAAAAAAAAAAAGAAAGGAAAAGGAAAAGGAAAAAGAAAAAGAAAAATTCTAAAAGGATAAATTGGCTTTTCTAATAAAGCAAGTTAGTTCCCCGAGATGACGTACTTTTTTGCTGCAAAGAGATCGAGGAGACAGACATATAACTTGAAGGAACTAAAGGAATCTCTGATGCCATCAAGCCTGGGACATCTGAAGATTAGATGCTCAGCAGACTCAACAACATTGCAAACTTCGCAAACATCACATGGTATAGCGCGAATCATTTTTAAATAAACTTTGTCATAAGTATGACCACTAATGAGTCTATGAAGAATTTTGATTTTCCAGGAATTAAAAGAAGATACAGAGAAGGGTTTAAATTGAAAAGTGGGATTTAATTTATAGAAAAGACGATAGGATTTAACGCGCGCGATTTCTTTAAATTCGTCGTTTAGCTGTTGAAGGATTTGGTTACGAATTGCTCGAATTGCTTCATTGGGAGTATATTTGATGGACAAAATTGTCCCATCAACACGAGCTCTCCCTGCATGAAAGTCGGCTTTTACATTTAAAAAAAAGACGCAGTGGCCAGGTAACCAAACGAGGTGATAGTCATCCACTTGAAATTCGTGCAACGTCTTGTGAATATCAAACACATATTGATATTCTGCATCTCTTTTATTTATTAGAAGTAGAGCTGACCTGCTGTCGGAAAAAATAACAAACCGTCTGATACCATCGGAGATAGCAACTTTGATAGCATCTCGAATGGCGAGCAACTCAATAAAAGTAGAGGAAAGTTCGTCTTCCACTTTAACTCGATGTGCTGTTTCAAATAGATGTTTCACGACCGAGACGCCAGATACATTATGTCCGACGGAACCGTCAGTGGCATATATATCGCATCCGTTGTTCTAATAAAAAAGGAGCTTTTCTTGGCATAACAACCTTATACAAGAGAAGTTGACATTTTTTTTGAAGTAGAGATCGATTCGAGAATGTTCATGAAGACTGTGCATTTGCTGGTAATGAAATTCAAGGGGGGAATTGAATCTAACTTATCAAAAATATGACGAAGTTTTTGATAGCAAAAAGTATAGCTTCAAGTGACTATATCACTGAGAGACATAATTTCCTGAAAAAAGGAAGGATTTACCATGTTGATTTTAATTAACTCCTTGGCAGTGCAAAAAAGGGCTCTTTCGGAAACCGGCCATTCACCAGATATGACATTGAGAATATGTTGAGGAGTTGAGGAGGTCAGTCCAGTACAACGCTTCAACATTCGGTTTTCAAATGCTTGTATACGTTTCTCAATATATTTTGGGAAATTGCAACATGTGGAATGTCCAAAATCAATTTTGGACCTGACTAGAGATAGTAAACGGTCAAAGCATTTTTGGGAGGCAAGCCTTCCTGATTGTTTGTCATGAGTTTGATGATGTTGCATCCAGACTGACAATCTTTGAAAGCCTTTTCATAATGCCCACGAAGGGTTAAGCTGTCATTTAAAATTCTCCCAAGAAATCGAAGAGATTTTACCTTATTAACTTGGGTACCTTTGATAAGAAGTCTGATTTCACGTTTAGAACCTTTGGTAAAATAAATAGTGTTTGTCTTGCTGGGGTTAAAATATAAATTAAGATCAGCGCATGCATCGAAAAACAAGTTCGCTTTCATCGAAAGGTTATTGACAGCTGCTGGAAAAGATGAGTCCGCAGATACGATTAGAAAATCGTCTGCATATTGAAAAATATGAGTTTTGTCATCTTGAAGATCATGCAAAGAAGCTGCGTATAAATTGAAGAGTATGGGGCTTAAACAATTGCCTTGTGGGATACCACCGCATATTTCAACTTTTTGGGTACCCATCACTAACACACGCTTGGATAAAAAATTAAGTATCCACAGCCGCATTTGAAGAGGAATCGAAAAGTTTAAGAGAATTCTACCAAGCTTAATCAAGTTGACACAGTCATAGGCTTTGCTGATGTTCAGGGAGAGCATGACAACCATTTTCCCTGCTTTTTTTAAGCTGGCTATGAGAAAACACAGTTCATTAACGAATATATTCGTATATTTGCGTTTTTCATAGGCGTAATACCGAGCTGGAATAATGTTCTTAGTTTTCAGGAAAGCAGTTAGTCTCTCCTTAACCATGAGGTTGATGGTCTTTATGAATACGGATATTAGTGAAATTGGTCTGAAGCTACTTAAATCATTGAAGTCTTTACCTAGCTTGGGAATGGGAATTATTTTGATGCAACGCAAAACAGAGGGTATAAAGTTGGTGGACCGGCAGTTGTTAATTCCATGCAAAGCATGCTGAAGCTACCTCCAGACAGTGCTCTGAGCATGTCATACTTGACTCCATCACAACCTGCAGTAGCTCTCTTTCTGGAATGTAAAACATACATTAGCTCATGCAATAAAAAAGATGTGTTGTTGAGACTACTGAAAGGAATTGAAGATATTGTAATCGGATTGACACTTGGAATGGAGCTCTTAAGCATATCCAAGTATTTTGTATTATAATGGTCATTCCATACAGCACAACCGCTTTATTTTCGACTAGAATGTCGATGCCTATTGATATAACTGCAGAAAGAACGTGGGTTGCCGTTATCACATAAATCTTTAATCGCGATGGCTCTATGTGCCCTTTTCGCCTTTCCCAGACCTGCAGACCTCCGTTCTTTCAGGGTTTTCATATATTCAATGTACTTGGCTGGATTGGCATATTTACTCATTTTTTTTCTTGCAGCTTCGTATTTGCGGAAAAGTGTCGACAGGGAAGGATTCCACCAAGGTTTAGGTGAGAAGGACTCAATGTCAGGGAAGTTGGTTCTAGCAGACATGATCACAGACTGAAAGGCACTTTGAATTGATGATAAATCAGAAGGAAGATCAACTTTAGACAGACGGTCCATAAGGAAGTTGCGTGAAACGAAATTTTCTATTTTCTTGACGGAATTGTTGCAACTGTGGAATATAATGGGGGAGTGCTGACTTTTGCCAATGGAAACATTGGACGTGTGCCAGTTGAAAGATAAAATAGTTGAGTTCGAGAAAGTCAGATCCAAGACACTGCTCGCCGTGCGACCGCTCCGGGTTCAGTGAAAGGTAGTATTGCCGTTATTTAAGACACTGAAACTGCTGGAATTGACGGAATTTACAAGGATTTTGTCTTTGTTAGTAGAGACTTGATCGCCATACAGGCGGTGTCTTGCATTGAAATCTCCAGCTAGAATCACATTTTGTTCACCGTCAAGAAAGTCGCATAATCTCTGAATCTCATCACGAAAGGTTTGCACATCGAGACTGGGTGGAAAGTAGCATGAGGCTATGAAAAGATTCGGTTTCAGGTTGATGGTTTTGATGATGATGATGTCAACGGCAATGTTATAGGGAATAGGTCTGAAATTGGCACCTTTCTTAACTAATATACTAACACCACCATAGCCATCATTTCGGCATTTGGTGGCTGAGGCATAATTCGAAACTTTAACTTCGAAACAATTTTTATCCTTCAGAAAAACTT